CTCAGTAGTCCCTTAATTATTTTGGTTCTATGGCTTCTAATGATTAGTCACGAAATGAGAGGAAGTCAACTTGATGCAAGAGATTTTTGGTTTTTAATTCTTTTATTAATTAACTTTTGGGTTGCCCGTGAGGAGGATCAAGCAACTTCATTCTTTGGTAACGACCTTCTATTCTGTAAGGATCAATTCTGATTTCACATTCTCTTATCACTATGTATCTAGTTGTGCTCCATCATCTATAATTATAGGGGCATCCTAACACATGTGAAGCTTAATTCTACTGTGATCATCATGACCTTTGAAATGTTCTATAGTACTGGACATGTCTGTCCATTTTCCTTTGACAAACAGCTTCCAAATACTGGGGTTGGAGAATAAAATGATGGATTAAAAGTAGGGATTATGCTTGCCTTCCTCCCTAGGGATGTGGTTTTATTTGAGTAGTCCCATTTATGGACGACCCCTTCAACAGCCAAGGCCAAAGCATTGACTAAAATACTACTAGAGGCGAGCAACATTGAGGCTACCAATTTATCAGTTCACCATTAGCTATAGTAGGAACTTGTCAACAGGGTATTGCAACAAGACATACTTGGGGTGATGACCAAGGTTGATTGAAAAGTCACTGATGCTTGTCAACTCGAGAGGAAGGCGGCGTTGATCACTCAGGTTGTGAAGAAGAAGGCTCGCCCAACTGTTGCCTGAGATTGTGAGCGGCGAAACATCCGAAACCAAAGATGGTTGTTTGGGCCATGGGATCTAAAGCTTTGATTAGTGTGGATCTCGTTTACATAGTTTCTACTTCTCCTATATTTTTCAAAGGGTAGGAATATATGATCTAGTCTAATCGAATGATTGGTTTACTGAGAGAAAGTTAAGGGTTCCCTTACTTCTATATGTTCTCATGATGTTTGTTATTCATTTGTCGAGGTGGCCGCGAGTTGTGAGAAATCAACCTGCTAGGAGAGGGGGGACTGACTATAAGAGATTTAAGTGAGAGAACCACTTGACTCCTGATCGTTAACCTCAAGATTCATTCCCTTATTGGTGATAGACAAGTCTTGCTACCCCATTATTATAGATATGAGTTGGTCTCCAATTGGATACATTCAGAACATAGGGGGGACCATCCAATAGAATCGTCGACATAACGCCCCACCGAACTATGATAGACTAAGTCAAATTAGTTTTAGGAAGAGCATCGACACAAGAGAAAAGTCTTGAAAACCGAATTAAGTGAGCTACCCCCCTTGTGGACTCAAGAGAAATACAAGGAGTCAATATTTAACTGGATTCATATGCAATCAGAGGAGGCGAAAGTAAGCACTTGCTAGGGTGGCAAGTTTGCCCTGATAAATCTTGTAAAAAACTAAAATTTTGATTCCCAGGCTACAACCCCCCACCCCCAACAATGGTCGAGGTGATATTATTTCACAAACTAGAAAAGGCTTTACTGGAATATTGTTTGTTTAGATTGTGTCACACGATTGACATATATCATTTAATGGTCTAGCAAGCATCTCATAATCAGGCAAGCATTCTGCATCGGACTCGGGTAGAGCTTGAAGGGAAACTAGCCGAGGCGGAGAAGAAATTGAAGAAAGTAGAAAAGAATGAGCTCATTTTCAAGGAAGAAAACTGGGTCCTAAAGGAGCACATAACTATAATAAAGGGACCCGATGAGTTCTTTGCCAAGCTTTCTTTCCATCTAGTATAAAAGGTTATTCTCACACAGAAATTTGAGGGGGTTTTTGGTCATATGACAAAGACAAGACTAATCACCCCCAACTGAGTTAATCTGAAGAAAGTTTCTATACTGGTGACCAACTCAGACAGCAAGGGGGCCAACTAATTAAGGCAACGAGAGTGATAGAGATGATGGTCTGTCGATAAACATGTAGATCGATTCTGACTATTGTTTGTAAAAAGGAAAAAAAAATTCTCTTTTTCCTTAATTTTGAAGTGTCGTTTTTATTTTTTGACAAGGAGAGTATCTTTATAGAATCAAATATTTAAAACACGATATTAAAACAATACAGTATCTCTAGAGATAAAAGTACAACTTTAAGATGATTTCGATTAATTAAATTAAGAAATTTTAGAAAATTGTAATGATCTACAATTAAGACTCCCAAAATTTTCCCTTACCTAATCTGAATATTGTATAGGGTTTAGATTAAATGTGGGGTTTTAAAATTCCTATAGGAGCAAGCCCCTATAGTTATATACATCTTAAGCAACTAAATCTACCTTAAAAAAGTCTTGATTAAGGTTATGGTATTGTCTTTAAGAAATTTCTAAGTTTAGGTACAATGATTGATCATTGGAATTTCAAATGAAAAAAGCTCAAAGGTGGAATAGTTATTAGCATAATCCAAAGGAAAAAGAGTAAGAGATGTTGAAGATGCTGAGAATACTGAGTGACATCCCAATTATCCTAATATTTAATTTTAGGGATTTTAAAAGTAGTTTATTTAATGTTTCATCCTGATATTTTATAAGAAAGTTAGGACTTAAATTTCACACGATATATAATCGTGAGAAAATCTAGGAGGTGAGAATGTATGAGCAAACTTGAAATTCTAAGCATGAAGTGAGATTCACTAAAAAAAGCAAAACCTCAGAAACCTAATCTAAAAGAAAGAAAATATGATAAGAAAAAAATGCAATGGACATACAACCATGCCTAGAAGGGGTTGTCATCTAAATCACATAATCACGTTTAAAATAATGCATGACCAATCTCAACGAATGCAAGATATGATATATTAGCTTGCTAATGTCTAACCTTTGATGCTAATCGATTTTCGGTATGGCTTGAGTACAGAATGCTTGTTTTCCAATCTCAATGAATGCAAGATATGATATATTAGCATGCTAATGTCTAACCTTTGATGCTAATCAATTTTCGGTATGGCTTGAGTACAGAATGCTTGTTTTCTACTTTCTTCTTGAAGAATAATTGAGTAGAGGCATTGTTTGTTGTTGCTTGTAAGTAACAACTTGTTTGTTTTGAGATCCTTTATTAGATAGCCAATTGGATCAAATTGAAGGGAGCAATGATTGTCCGAAACAATGTTATAGACATATTTCAAGTTATGTAAAATATTAGGGATACGTAAAAGTTTCTTTAAGAAAAAAAAAACTTATAGTTTGGAGTCGGTAAGATACCTTGACCAATATGTTGGATGAGAATACTATCATCATTTCCAGTCTCAACATATTCATTACCATTGGATAACTGTTGCTGTTGAATATTATGATAGTTAAGAGTCATGTGGGACGAGGCTCCCTGTATCAAAAATCCAATCATTCGAGGAATCAGGTTTCATGGCAGTGGTAAGAGCAATTTGTGATTGGGACTGAGATTTTGGAACATAAACAAGGTTGGACCAATGCCAACATGAGAAGGAAGGATGCCTAGTCTTTTCATATATTTGACAAATGGTAGTAGATTTTGGACAACTGTTGGGAGTTGGATTCATTGATGCATGTCCACCACAGTTTCTTGAGGTGTTGCGGCCACGACCTTGAGTGGAGAACATTGTAATTTGGATTAAGCTTTGTTCCTTTGCAGCAATTGTGGTGAGGTGAATGTCCTCGTTGCAGACAAGAGCATAAAGATCCTCCAAAGCGATGGGTTCAAGCCGTGTACGAATGGCGATTTTGAAAAAAAATATAAGATGTAGGAAGACCATTCAAGATGTAAATTATGATATCTTTTGGATCAACATGAAACTCGGCTGCAAGGATTTGATCCACAAGAGTCTTGATTTTGGTAAGTTATTGAGTCATGAGTTGGTTTTCATAGAAATGTTATGAAGCTCATTTTTGAGCTGTATAATGTGAGATCAACTATAAGATTGAAGTCTATTGGATAGGGATGTCCAAATAGCAGTAGTAGTTTCTATATTCAGCACATGAGGTAGAATGGATGAAGAAATAGTGGAATAGGCAGCGACAAAGAGCTTTTGATCTATGAGTGTCCAGTTGTAATATGCATGATTAATTGAATTATCATTCACTAACAGAGGAGGACAAAGCCAAGTGGTGTCAAGAAACGATTCAAACCCGCTAGCTTTGAATAATTTGTAGATCTGAGAGCGCCAAATAGGGAAGTTATTAGTGGCGAGTTGAGTAATAACCAAAATTCTAATGTTACCCATGAGGAATTTAAGGGAAGGAGGTATAGAGAAGGTGGATGATGAGAGGTTGTTGGTGGCACTTGAGGAGGAGATAGAAGCCATGGAGAATGGCAGTAGCAGTGAAGAATAAAAGCAACAGAGAAGATGAAAGGAGGTTAAACTTATGAATTTTGTAGAATGAGCCGAGCTGAAAAAACGAAAGGTCATGAACACAGCTAGTGGAAAATCAGGATAAAAAAAGATGCAAGACTAGTTAGAAAGAACCAATAAATATGAAGATGAAGAAGTGTAGTTAGACGTGCAGAGAAAGCCTTGGAAGCAAGAAAAACCGAACACAATAAGTGGGTGAGAGATTCAAATTTGGGAAAATGAAGCAGGAAGTCGGAAGCTAAAATTGGAGAGATAGAACTTGTAGAGGAGATGCTCTGATGCCATGATAAAATTAAGAGAAATATAGAAAAGAAGAAATACTGACTCGAGTCTTTATCATAACCTTTGCACAATAGAGGCAAGCTATATAAATAGGCAAACCCCTTACAGTTATCACGAATAGGAAGGAGTAGAAATAACTTAAATAATAGACATAGCATACTAATATATATAATATCAATTTTGTTTCTTCAATCATTTATTTGTTTCAATCAAATATTACTTATAATAAATTTTTTTATTTTAATAATTTATTCGACATAAAATTAAAATATAATAAAATAAAAAATTTTAATAAGTTTTTAATTTTCGAATTAAATAAAAATTAAAGTCAAATTGAAATTAAAAAATCAAATATTAAAATTTAAAAATAAAAAGTATTCAAACCGAACCGAAACATCAAATTCAGTGGTTTGAGTTTTTTTTTTTGGGTTTTGGCGAAGTAGTGCCATTCAAGCTTGACTCTTATCCAAAAGAGTGTCTTCAATCTACAACGGCTTCCTCTGCTCGCAAAAGGGAGAAGAGAGTGGAAGAAGATGGCGCTAGGGCTCTCGTTACCTTCCTCCCATCCTCTTTACTCCTGCCCGTTCCACCCTTCAAGCTCGTTTTCAAACAGAAAAGCATTCTCTCTTCCATCTCTAATCTCTTCATTCCACGGCATCCGAATCCATGGCGGAGCTGCTAAAGCTCTTGGGCCACCGTTCTTTCGTGGGAGTGGAGGAAGCTTTCTGATTAGGGCTTCGAAGAGAGAGGAGGAGTTGAAGGAGCTACGAGGTCGGACGACGGATGTGCTAAACGAGGAGGTCATCGACCTTAAGGGGGAGCTTTTCATGCTCAGGCTTCAGAGGTCTGCCAGGAATGAATTCAAATCTAGCGAGTTCAGACGCATGAGGAAAAGGGTAAATTTCGGTTTTGTTCTCTTTTCCTTTCAGCACATGTGGCTCTGATTCTAATTGGAAGAGGAACCATGTTTTTTGTTTTCGTTGCTGTGATTTTTTTTTGAATCGGTAAAATTGATTTTCTGCTGCAACAGCTTTATGTGCTTCCATTTCTGATTGTTTCTTTTTTTTTTTTTTTGAATATTTGCTCCCCCTTTTTTTTTGAAGTTAAACGCTCAAGCACAAATCACTCACTCACATGCCAATTCTGGAATCTAATACATCTTTGATGGGGACGAAGCTCTTAACAAACCTGGTTTAGGGACACAAAACAATCTGCTGTTATTATTGGGAACTGTGCTTATTCCTGGAGCTTGTGTTGGGTCATAGAACTACTTATGGAGAGTTGTGGATAAGTTTCTATATTGAAAATTGTGCTAATTTGCATTGTAGATTGGCATTAGAGCAGATGTTTTGAGTAATTAGAGAATTTAACTTTTGGAAGATTTACATACATACCACTCAATTCCTATGTATTCACATTTTTAACTACTCAACTTCATTTTTTACATACCACCTTTCCTATGCGTACTAATGTGTATTTTACATTTTAATAGTTAAAAAGTGTCATTTTTTTTTTTGTGAATTTAAAGATTTGACCTTTAGTTCAACCAATAGAATGCAAATTGTCACCTTCTTGTCAGATATCGTGGTAAAAGTTTAACTTATGGCACAGGTTTTTTGTGCATTATGTTCTGCCATGTCTTGGTTTGCATATGAAGTTTGCTTGTTAAGCAAATTGGCATTGGAAGTTTGTGGCTAAACTTGGTCAATCATTTAAAGTTCGTTCCCATTTATTCCTTTTCACATACTTAGTGATTGATGATTGTAGACTTTGGCTTTGTTTGATGTACTGTTTTGGTGGTTTAATTTCTTAATGAAGCATTGAAAGTGCAAATTGCTTCTATTTGATTATTTATAGTGTTGTTTACCTCATATCAATTAAGTATGTTGTACTTTAACATTTAAATTTTCTTTATAAATATTGATCCTTAGAAATTAAATGATATAAATTTGTTTTCTGTAATATTACGCTGGAAACAAAGTGTCCAAAAATTCTATAAAATTTATCACATTGAATGTAATCACATAATGACCTTGTTCTTTTTCAAGAAAGTTGTTAAAATTCATTGTTGTTTAGATGCTTTTAGAATTATTCATGTATCTTAGACCAACATCATCAACAACAACAAAAAACCTATATCCCACTAGGTGGGGTCTACATGAATCCTTTTTCTCCATTGCGTTCTATTTAGTGTCATATTTTCATTTAATTCTGATAAATTAAGATCATTTTTATATAATATGCCCAAGTCTTCCTAGGTCTACCTCTACCTTTTTTTAACATAAGTCGAATCTAAAACATCTTCTCTTTTAATCGGATCATTAGATGGTCGACTTTTAATGGGGCTAAACTATCTAAGACGACTCTATCTAATTTTATCCGTCACTAGAGCTACACCAACCCTATCACAAATATATTCATTTTGCATTTATCTTTAAGTGTAAAGCCACTCATCCACCTAATCATTCTTATCTCGGCAACAATTAACTTAGTTTTGTGCTTCTCTTTTAAAGGCAGACATTCAACGCCATAGAGCATTGCAGGTCTCACAACCATCTTATAAAATATTCCTTTCAGTCTAAATGGTACTTTTCTATCACACAATAGGCCCGAAGTATTCCTCCTCTTCAACCAACCAACTTGAATTCTACTAATAACATCCCCATCAATATCACCATCACTTTGAACAATAAATCCGCGATATCTAAAGCGTTGACACCTTTTAATAATTTGATCGCCCATGGTTACATTTCTGTCACTATAGCTACTACAACTAAAATTACATTCCTTGTATTCAGTTTTAATTCTACTCAAATGAAGCAAATGAAGGCCTAAGGTAG